ATAATAATAATAATAATAATAATAATAATAATAATAATAATAATAATAAGATTAATGAAACAACAGTTCACAGTAACGTGACATACAGCCACAATACCTCATAACCATAAGTTGGGGTCCACCCACTCTGGCACACAGTTTGAAACTTAAGCAGCTTCTTTATCAATTATTCACATTTTTTCTTACAAAACTTCGTAACTTTTATACATAACGCGATCTATGATTCCATACATAACATTGATTTGTAAACGAGGTTACACACTTAGAAGAACACTAACATTTGATCGCATTACATGTCGATGAGATAACAGAAAATTTTGTAATAAATCTTATTTTTAAGAACCGAATTTATAGTGCGAATAAAAGACGCAAGTAGTTTGTAACGCAAACTACAACAAAAAATATTCATGATATTAAAAACCATAATCCAGACCGTTTTGTAAACAGTAATGCAAAGGATTATACACATGCTATATATATATATATCCTCTTTTTAAATATAAATATTGAAACGCAGAGATAGAAAAGATCACATATTAGCATGCTCAGTAATGTGAGAATATTAAGTCAAGGTACAAAGGCTTTGATTTATTAGCTAGAAGCCAAATAATTGTACATAAGACATCTATTCGATGTTAGTTTCAGGAACAAAAATATTCATTGAATGCATTTGTCTAATACAGAGCTTTGAATTCACTATACTGTGATAAAACATTAGTTTTGTCCTTTCTGATCAAGAAACACAGTATATTACAAATCAAAAATTGAAGTAAAAAAGTCCATTAGTCAACCTGTCCAACAATTTGTAGAAACTTTGAATTAAATGCACATTTGATAATGAAATGAATACAATTTTTGTGAATTGGTGTATTAGTAAATAGAACAAGAAATATCTAATCAATAATACCACCTACACTAAAAATGTGGATTATTATACATCAATATTTATCCAATATGTATATATATATATTAAAACACAAAAGAAACTTGTATAATACGAATTTTAGAGCATGCCAAAGACAATATAACTATAAAAAAATATTACAAAAATAATTTAAACTTAAATCATTTTACGTTCAAAGATTCATTCATTAATCGTTTATAATTAATAAGAGATATTTCTTTATATAAAAAATACACAGAGTGAAATTGTAAGTTTTAGGGTTAGGAATTATGCTTAGATGAAGTTTTATGTCAGTCAACTTTTATTCGGTTATCTAAAAATTCTTTCTGCAAGCAATGTGTAATATTAGTTTATTATTAATTTAAAACACACACATATATTCCTAAAAAATATTGAGTGTGTCGTGCAAAAATATAAAAATTATTTGATATAATATATTTAAAGTAACAGTCTTTCATTTGAGTATAAAAATCATAATAAAGAAGAAAATTAATTATTTGAATATCTTTATAATGATGGATAATACAGAGATTAATTAATGACTAAACACTAAACAATACACAACATTGAACTGTTATTATATGTAAATATCTATATATAAAAATATATTTGTAATAAACAATTTGTCACAGTCTATTGTTAGTACTTTCAATTATTTACTAGTCATTTTTGAACAAAAACGGAAGTATAACACAATATGTCAAAACATTAATTAGTAACTGATATTAAAAACATTTTCATTTCATTTTTGTCAATATTACTCTTTCTTTTAAATACTGCTTGATTAGACTACGAAAATAGTAATGTTGTAAAATATATATATATGTATGTATGTATATATATTGTAATTGTACAAAGTAGGTAAATAAAAATTTGTTAACAATAACATTAAGAGCACATATGGAAATATTTAATAAAATTATTTTTCATTCTTTATAGAGAAATAGATTTTGTTACATTTTCTATGCTTGTAAGATAAATAGACTAATGATCAGTAGCAATAATTATTATATTTTTCAAACCTTATGTATCTAATTTTTATCTTATATATGTATATATATATATATATTTATGTTTATAAAAAAAAAGGCCAAACAATATGTGTAAATGATACTACATTACTGTATTATCCATCTAAAAATTTGAAATTATGAAATGTAAAATACGAATTAGATTTTTAGAAGTTATAATTAGTGTTTATAATTTTAATGTGTAAAATTCACAACTTATTTTATTTGTGTAATACTTTCATCACTGCAAGAGTATACCCGTAGTTATCGTACAATTTCACTCTGTATACTTATCATATTCTTCTTACTATCAAATATTGATCATAGTTTTATTTATATACTACAGTTAATTCATATCACAATGTCAAGGCACTTAGAAAAAAATTTTTTCCCTGAAGCACCTTTATCCCTCTCCTTTAGTCTGACACAAATATAACACAGAATATTTAAAAATTTGTAGTACTATTGCTTCTGTTGACTTTTTTACCCACTGCTCGAGACAATGTTCTAGTTGGTGTAGGTCTTAATTCATAGCCTCCTGCATTCATTGTATTATTGATTGCTGCTACATTTGGAGCAATAGTTTTTAAACATTTAGCAGCTTCTTGTAGCTGTTTCGATAGAATTTCATTTTTTAATTTCTCTGCATTCAGTTCTCGTCGAAGTTGTGCTTTTGTTTTATTCCCAAATGGACACAGTACTCTATGTTGTATAAGACATACTGCTGATGGTCTCATTTCAGGATTTGGATGAATCATTAACTGTAAAAAAGATTGAATTAAATTTTGTATTCTAATATAAACTAATAATATAAATTAAAATATAAAAAGATTGATATTGAACTTATTTACTTTAAGTAATTCGTTAAGATCACGACTGTAATGTGGTAATTCTTTTAATTTTCCATTTCTAATGTCATGCCATTCTGATCCGTTTTTAGGTAGTGGACCTCCACCACCGGCTTCATAAATAGTTAATCCAAAAGCAAAAATATCAGCTTTCGATAAATGAGAGAAGTCCTCACGCAAAATCTCCGTTGGAAGATATCTACAATCTCCTTCTTCAACTTGAGGATTATTAACTGATGTAACATGGCCTAAATCTCCTATTTTGTAAGTAATTTCCTCTTCTACAGTTTCCTCTTCGTCAAAACCGTCATCGGCTGAATCATAATTAACTGCGAGTAACCTTTTTTCTTTGGAAATGAAGATATTTCCGGGTTTAATGTCCATATGTACTAATTGCATACTGTGAATATATCTTAAACCTTCAGCAACATGTAACAATAATTGTCGTATTTCTATTTCAGTAAAATGTTTTTTTTCTTTTTCTAAGTTGAGAATCGCGTCAGCCAAACTACCACCATTACAATATTCATTTTGAATTATCATGTGATTATCCTCTGCCCATGCAGAATAGTATCTCACCACGTGTTGATGTTTACCAAGTACAGCATGCGCATATACTTCGTTTAAAGCATTCTTTTCATTAATACTTCCAGCCACAGGTTTAATACTTTTCTTAACAGCATAAGTGCATCCATCTAATCGATTAATGCATTTATAAACAGAGCCAAATTCACCCGTTCCAATTAAACCAAGTTCATGGAACTCTTGATGATATCGTGAGATATTGGAATCTTGCAATGCCACACGTTTTGTAGCTTGTTCTATTTCGTTGTCAGAATCTTCTTCAGAATCGCCAAGATCAAATTTTGGAATTTGGATATCTGGAGAACTGATGTCAAAAGAAAAGAAGCAATATTTAATTTTGAATTAGTAATGTATCATATTTCTTAATTACATTAATAATGTATTAAATTTCTTATATCACATATACTTACCCATTCAGACTACGCTTAGATCTAGTACGTTTTCTTGCAGTTAACATTATTCCATTTGGCATAAAAGGATTTACATTGGCAGCAGGTTTGTCAGATTTATTTTGATAATTACAAGATCTAGATTTGTCTAGCGAAAATAATCTAGAACATTTAGTCGGAAACGGAGTATGCATTGCACTCTTTTCCATTAATGTTTTTGGAGTAGCGGGAGAATCAAACAGACGTAATGCTCTAACTCTTTTGTAAGGTGGACTACATGCCATTGATATTTTTTGAGAACACATATTTTCACGAGGAGGGATTCTAATTCTTGATGCACCTGTAAATCATATTTGTTGGTTTTTGAGGATCTAATTTCCTCATGTATCCAAATAAAAAAGCAAAAGCAGTGTTGTGTTGATTACTTTATAATTTATGTACAACAGTGTTGTTAATTACTTTGTAATTGACATATATTTACATGATTTCCATATTTTTTTATTTTTTTCTTAAATTTTTTCTGTTCTTTTTTTATTTTTTTTTTAGGTCATTTTTTATGTGAATTTTTTGCATTTTTTTAATATTAATTTTTAAAATATTCTTTGTTTCAAACAAACAATTAATATAATACAGGGTTAACAATATTAATAAAGAACAATATACATATATATGCATATAAAAATACAAAATTTTATACAAGAAATCTTATTTATTTTTTAGAAGGAAATGTTTGTGTATTATATATTTTTCTTAATAAATATACATACATGAATCAAATATTTATTATAATAGCAAAAAGAATATATAAAAACATAGAGAGAAATTCTGTAGTCTTTATTACTTATTAACATCATTTGTTTCAACATCATACATATTTTTATACAATATAAATATCTGAAGTAACAGCAGTACACAGTAATATTGTATCTACTAATTACTTTCAGATCTTTTTAAATTATAAACAAATTTGCATGATGCAAAACGATTGTCCAATGAAAATATCAACTTTTCTACATCATGCATGAAAACATTGTCATATAAAAAAATTGACACCATTTTTCACAAAAAAATAATTAAAAATTAAAAAAAGAACTCTAAAAACAATGTTTGATAAGCGTGAAATAAAAAAAAAACAAAGTAGATTATCAAATAGAATGAATATATAATGACACAATGACAAAATGAACAAATAAACAAATTAAAATAAAATAAAACACAAAAACAAAAAAAATATACAAGAAGAAATATAGAGAAAAAATATACAAATTAAATTCGAGAAAATACAACACCATGCAGGAAAATATATATTCCCAAAATTATTTTGGAAAAAAATATATAGAACGATAAATGAAATACCTTTAAATATGTTGTAATCAGGATACCAAACAAAAACATTTCGTAAATATACGAAAACTTTGGAACAGTGTAATTACACTAACCTGTCACGTTACTAATCATATATTTTATTGCTATTGTATTTTCGGATAATATAAATTTAGCAAGAAAAAAAAAGCAACGTGATCGAGTTGTTTACTATAACCGAGTGCGTCGCTAGTGAGCAAAGCAATGCGCATGTGTAGAAAACATAGAGTGACGCCGTTACCTCGTGGTCAAAGCGTTATGTTATGCATTTTTAACACTTCTACTTATTTAACAATTTCATTTAAATAAATATCATAATCCTACATTTCATGTTTGAGTATATTTATTTCAATTTGATACTGTCATGATGCATATCTTAGATATGCATCATGCATATCATAGCAAGAATCGCTAGTAAAAGAGCAGAGTATAATATTACAATCTAGTTACTTTAGTTATTATGATTGAAGTTGTCTCTTTACTATCTATCTAGACTTGATGTTATTAATATCAATAAAATCAAAGATTTTAATTGTCCTTTCAAAATGAAAGTAAATATATCTTATGTATTGCTAATCTGTATCTTGTATATAGATTATTATTTACATCAATTTCTGTTTTGATAATATTTTTAATTAATTGATTTTGGGTTGTTGAGATTTGGAAACTTCTTCTCAGTCATTTTAATTTGCCGCTCAATAGGGAGTCACCAGTTCCTTCTGATCATCCTTATTAATTTATTATATCATTGAATGATCCGAACAAATTTAATTTTAAGAACTTGCTCACTTTTAAAGCAAATGAAATTTTACAAGAGACTATTAACGTTTAATTTTGACTTTTTAGTTTTTTTTCTTAATGCAAAATTTTGATCAATTCTTCAAAATTAATGAAAAGAATCTCATTATATTACATTATGAAATTATAAAGAGATGAAGGTGATAGAACACACTTCTCACACTTGTCACTGAAGAAATATACACCAAGAACACAACTTTTAGAAGTAGTAGAGGAAACTCTTTTTCCACAATATATTTATATATTTAAAACACAAGTCTGTTGGGTAACCTCACTGACGAATCTTCGATTCAACTACCGAACATATCAATTAAAACGGATTGATTACTTACTTTCATTGTCACTACAATTCATCGTATTACTAAATAATTTTCTCGGTTGAAGCGGGGGTGAACATCCAAGATCTTCCGTGGATGAGTCCAATATATCTTCAACATCACAGCCAGAACTGTTCGTATGACAGCTGATATTTAGTTCCTCATCCTGTATGTCGCAAGCTCCGGAATGCAACTTTTGTGCAACTTCCATCTTTTTCAAATTGTCACCATAAGTTTCTTCGCGTGCAATCAATCCTGTATGTATCAACAATATCAAACTGAAATAAAATAATCACTGATTTATAAACCTTGTTAATTACGCCTCGGAGATGTTAATTCAAACCACGCACGTACCACGCTACGTTCGTTATGGCGGGTGGCCCTATTTGGAAAATTAAAGCTGACCAATCAGGGGTCTCTTTGAGGACCGGTGTGTTGAATTCAATAAAATGCGTTCTTCTATTGGTTCTCGCTACTCCAAATGGTAGTATATAGTAGCGTCATCTGCACATATTTTCGACGGTGAAATCATTCTTTAGTAAAAATTCTAAAAAACCTTTGTCACAATCTGTTCTTTGAGCTTTCGATGAGATTGAATGACGCTTAAAACAGCCGATAATCGTTTGTCGAACAATGAATGAAAGCAAATTTTCAGCTCTGCGCCGATGGACGATATACGGTATTTAAAAATCTCATGCTTCTGTAACAAACAAAACTTTGTGCTACGAGCGTAAATTAAATTATTTATGTACACGATTACACGCGTAAATTACGAATTCTTTTATATTAAATTTATGTTCTTTTGTAAATACAAATGGGTTTTGATACGTTTCAGTCACAAAACGTTACAACGAGTATTTTATTTCAGTTATTTTATATGTTCTTGGATATTTTTTATATCTTTGAACTTTTGACTTCTCATAAATTCCCGTGGTTTAGGTTGAAATGTAGAAGATTTAACTAATCACGAAAGAATTTGATCGTTAGTGTTAGTTTAAATAAGAATTTAGTGTTAGTGTTAGTTTAAATAAACGTGATCACTTTTATATTTTATATTTTCGATCACTCTTCACAAATTTCATAAATTTCAGGAAATCTAGACGAAATGCTGTATAATCCGATTTCCAGAGCAGGAAAAAGCAAAAACGAAATGTTAAGTTTTTAAAAGTAGAATTTAATAAAAAGTGAGCATGCAGTGGCATGTATGGGCATTAATTTTTATGTTTATTAAATAAAAACATTGAAACTCACGTAAAAAAGTGGAAAATGTTTCACGTCCTCCACCTCAGACAAAGAGCTCTTTCTGTGAAAGAAGCTCCACAGAGGCAGTGAAAGAATTTTTATCGAGCAGCTGCAACCTGTAGCATTTGTATGAGCGAACGCTGGTTGGGCGTGTAGTAGTGTTGGTGGTAGGGGTAACATAGTAGTTCGATGTGTGATATGATGGGAATTTTACTGCGTTCGACGGGCTTTTTCTAAAACGAGAGTGCAAACGCCATCACGGTGGGGATGTGACATTACACGAAACAATCGAGTAGAGAGAGAATAAAGTATTCGTGAGTTGGTTGTGCCTTTATCGCACGTCACCATTTCCGAAAGTTTTGACCATTGAAAACACTAAGAATGGCAGACGTGGAGATTGAGATTGCAGGTGACATGCAAATACCTCAACAGCAAAAGCAAAAATCTAGCACTGGGTAATCATCGAATACACGATAAATGGACCTGATGATCGGCAATAGAACATTGAACATTTGTTGTCTAACCTACAAGGAAATTTTACCGACAATGATATTGACACCTTGTTAATAATCGTTGGTTAATTAAAGTTACCATATTGTTGAGTAATATTTTCCTTGTAATTATTATATTAAGAGCTAATTTTACAATTATTTATTTATTGCGAACATTTTAAAAGAAAATATTGCGATCTTTTTAAAAGAAAGTCTTCTTAAAATTCTTAATCGTTTTCACGTTGATAATTAATCTCGCAATCTATACAATTTGTTTTTTTAGACTTGAATTTCTGCAAATACCACAACTTCCACTCACTAACATAGGATATCCACAAGCTCACGAATGGATTGAACATAGGAAAGCTAATGTCAGACCATGGTCTTTGTTTCTCAATACAAGCAACATAAGACCTCCTCCCAGTTTACCAAGATTGAGTAAAAGAATTGTAAGAAATATTGAGTATTTCCAGAGCAATTATTTATTCGTATTTGTTGGATTAGTTATATATTGCTTGTAAGTTTTATTATAATTGTATTTATTCTTTCACTTATAGAGAATATCTTCTTATCTTAAATAACTTGGAATAATTGTTCAATTTTAGGATTACATCACCATTGTTGTTGTTTGCTGTTGCTGCATCACTTGGAGCTTGTTACAAGGTTTCACAACGTCATGCTAAACAAGAACTTACGATATTGAATTATAAATTAACTCTAGCTCAAGTTTATTCTTTGGTAGGAATCTGTTCACTGCCAATTTTTTATTTAGTTGGTGCCGGCGCAGCTCTTTTCTGGGTTCTTGGTAAATAAAACAAATATCTTTTTATTTAGACCAAAATTATACAAAATCTGCGTAAAATTATTTATGTACAAATTTTATTTCAGGTGTATCTTGGTTTTTAATAACTTTACATGCAGCATTCTACAATATTGATTCAGTATTATGTCCAGGAGAAGATGAACTCAATTCTTTAGTTATGCAAGAAGTATGATCTTTGTTATAATAGATATATATAATAAAATCAACTTTTATGTAGTATATAGATAATATAAAGTATACATTTATATAAATTTATGTACTATTAAAAGATATATGTAAGATATAATTAGTTTTGTAACATAATATCTCAATTTTAATTTTAATGACTGACAGGAATAATATTAAATAATATATATATATAAGTCAAATGAAAAATCTTTATGTATTATTTACTTTGTTATAGAAAATACCAAAGAGTAATTTTGTACTACTACTATTTAAGAAAAAATATTTGTATTTATAATGAAAAATTAATAAAATAATAAATAAAATATTAAAAACATTTGTGTTAATTATAACTTTTTATAGCTTATAAGAAAATTTTTTTATCGATAGTGATATTTTCCTTATATAAATATATCACTAAATATTGGAAAATTTATGTCTAATTATTTATTTAATTTAAAAATTTATAAACTGAACTGGCACAAATAAATATATATTAATTTACATATATGGCCATATGACCACGTGATCGTTTAACATATTACGAACAATACCTATGCATATATTGATATGATTCATAATTACGTGCATTGTTCTGTATTTACTCAGATGACAAACTCAACGTGCCAATTGCACCGTTTTTGTATAATTGTCAATAAATTGTACATAAATGTAGATAAGTTATAACAAATGTGTGTAGTAGTAAATCAAAGGTTAAAATACGTGTTAAAAATACGTACATGTATATTCACGCAGTTATGTGACAATTTCCTGTACCATATCTGTACAGCATCCGGAGTGAAAGATTTCTAATGGAAAGATGAGAATGTAAGGATAGTCTGTATTTTAGTTAGTGCTTTTTATATAAAAAAAATTAAAAAGCGTATTATAGCTAGATATTTTAAAAAATTAATAATTTATCATTTTTTTGTTCTAACATAAAATATATAATCATTTATAGATAATATAATTATTAACAATAGTTATTTGCAAATAATTATTTTAAATTTTCATCTATCTTAATTACCTACATTAATAGCAAACCATTGTTTTATTCATGTCATATTTCGTAACATGTATTTCACTCTTCAGTTTATTACAAAATTATAATATTGAATTGAATAAAATATATTTATAATATACACGTGTAGTATTTTTTTATGAATATATAAATTTTTTTTATTTGGCTTGCGTGTAGTATACATTGTTAGATTGAAATAAGTAGAATTTAAATACTGATCAATTCAATTAAAAATGAAAGAGGATGATGAAGAAATTTCTGTACCATGGATACAGAAGAGTAGGAATGATACATCTGAGGCAGTAGACTCTCAGTCTGAAGTAAATCTTTTTCGATCAATACCAAGTAATTTAAATGCAGGATCTGTGCAAACTTTGTATCAAAGTGTTCATAATATCTCATCATTGAATAATGCTGGAAGTATGACTAGTTTGGATAGTATGCATAGTGCAATCTCCTTGGAAGATATTCAACAATCATTTAATGATGATTTATCAGTTCTTAATAATGAGATAACAATTAATGGTAGTTGTACAGATCTGAGAAATAGCAGAAGAAGTTCAAAATCTGTAAGTTTATAACTATATATATATATATGTAATTTAATAACGAAACTGTTAATTATAATAATATCTGTTTTCTTCACAGATCTCAAAATGTGGAACAGCTTTTAGTTTATATTTTCGTGATGAAATTCGTACAATTGATTTTGTACTTGTTTGGGATGAATACAATGTAGAAGCTCAAACATATCGTTGTACAGAATATAGACGTGTAAGTAACTATACAGTAAAAAAATACTACTTTTTGTTTAATATCTATAATTTCTAGGTATTTGAAAAAAATTTGGAGAAGGAAAGTTTACAATTGGAATATGAACAAGCAGAACCAAATGGTTTACATTTCATAAAAATTCATGCACCTCGAGAAGTATTAAGACGGTATGCTGAAATATTAAAACTTAGATTGCCAATGAAGGAATTACCTAATATGATAATTCCTGAAAATCGTAGTAATGCATTGATTAAAGAAGTCAATTCGTTATTTAAAAGAATTATGAAAAACTATTATGTAGACCAAACAATATTTCCAACTATGAAACATAATTTTACGGCTGTTTATAGCCGTGATAAAGAATATTTATTCAGTTTGGATTCGCCAAATTTTTTTACCGCTGCAACGCGTGCTAGAATCATACAGTTCATTTTAGATAGAACCAGATTTACTGAAACCAAGGATGACGATTTTGCATTTGGAATAGAAAGATTGATTTCGGAAAAAGCATACGTAGCAGCATATCCTCTTCATGATGTAAGCTACATCTTTTTGTTTTTTTAATTGTATTTTTTAAATTTGTCTAAGTTATAGGTATATTTACATTCTTTTTCTACTAGAAAAGAAATTAAAGTTAAAAGCAAACATAACTGTTTTTTTATTGCATTTTATTTATTTTGTCTCTTTGTTCACATTTACTAAACAAAAAATTTTTGAAAGAACTTTGACAATTCATCGACTATTCTCTTGTTACCAAATATAATTATCCTATGTATATAATTTCATGTTAAATATAAAGCGTTAGATTTATATCATCGCTTATTTAGACAAACACAATATAATTATTAAGAGTAGGTTCTCAGATATGGATAGTCTAGTCATCTTAATTTAGTTAAAATATTAATTTACTTTACTTAAAACTTAATTTATTGAGAAGGTTGAATTTATCTTGGTTATTTATATTGATTGAAGTGACGATTATTTTAGTGTAAATGATCAATACCTTATACTTTTTATTATGCTTACATTTAAATAAATGTACATTTAAAATTTTTATAATTAAACAAATTTAGGTACAAACATTCATGTAGAACATTAATATTTTAATTAATATAATTTTTTTCTATTTTTAGGGAGATTTACACTCACCGGATTCCATGAGATATCTTTTATACAAAGAATGGGCAAGTCTAAAAAAATGTCTTCACTATCAACCATTAGACTATATCAAAGAATATTTCGGAGTGAAAATTGGACTTTATTTTGCTTGGCTTGGATTTTATACACATATGCTAATACCTGCTAGTATCGTAGGTCTTTTATGTTTCATATACAGTTGCGCAACTTTGTATTCTAACGAACCAAGCGAAGATATCTGCAATGGTAACGGTACCATTGATATGTGTCCCTTATGTGATCATTTTTGTGGATATTGGGATTTAAAAGAAACATGCTTACACGCAAGAATTACGTATTTGTTTGATAACCCATCTACCGTATTTTTTTCTATATTTATGTCATTATGGGGTATGTAATAATATTTTTAATAGTTATGCATCTATACGATATATTTCATTATCATTTTACTATATTTTATTAGCTACATTGTTTTTGGAATTATGGAAGCGATATTCAGCAGAAATAACTCATAGATGGGACTTAACTGGTTTAGATGCTCAAGAGGAACACCCTCGTCCTCAGTACTTAGCACGTTTAGCACATATAAAAAAGAAATCGCTCAATATTATTACAAATACGGAAGAACCGAAAGTTCCTTTTTGGAAAATGAGAGTCCCCGCTACAATTCTCAGCTTTTCCATTGTTTTGTTGCTGGTTTGTATAATATAGAAAAAAAATGAATTTAATAATTACGATATAAAATAATCGTAAAATTTGTGTTTTATTTATACTTGGAATTACAGATTGCAATAGCAATGGCAGCAGTATTAGGTGTCGTTCTATATAGAATGTCTGTCTTAACTGCCTTAAGTGTTTATGGACACCCCATGGTAACAAGTTATGCAATACTATTTACAACAGCTACTGCAGCTAGTATTAATTTATGTTGTATCATAGTATTTAACTGGGTTTATGTTTGGCTAGCTGAATATTTAACTGAGGTATATTATGACAACAGTATATATTTTTCTTGTTTTTAAAAATATATTTTTACTTTCCATTTTTACAGATTGAACTACTTCGAACTCAAACTGAATTTGATGATAGTTTGACGCTAAAAATATATCTACTCGAATTTGTTAACTACTATGCTTCCATTTTTTATATAGCATTTTTTAAAGGAAAATTTGTTGGATATCCGAGCAATTATAATCGTTTTTTCCAATATCGGCAGGAAGAATGTGGCCCCGGTGGTTGTCTTATGGAATTATGCATACAGTTAAGCATTATTATGGTTGGAAAACAAACTATGAATACAATATTAGAAATGTTGTTTCCACTATTTTATAAATGGTTAAATACTTTAAAAGTACATGTTGGGATGAAGACAGAAGACGGACATAAAAAGGTTACTACTCGGAAGTATCTTCAATGGATCAAAGATTATAAATTGGTAGAATGGGGTCCAAGAAGTTTGTTTCCCGAATATTTAGAAATGGGTAGCGGTATTAGATTTATTAAAGTCACCTATATGTATTTGTATTAGCCATTTAAATCTTAATGTTTTAAATATTGCAGTACTACAATATGGATTTGTTACTATTTTTGTTGCTGCATTTCCATTAGCGCCTTTTTTTGCATTGTTGAATAATATTTTTGAAATGAGATTAGATGCTAAAAAATTATTGGTAATGTACAGAAGACCAGTTGGACAACGTGTTATAGATATAGGCATATGGTATCGCATTCTTGATTCCATTTCTAAGTTATCTGTTATAACCAATGTAAGTAAAAATACTTTACACAAGCAATATAACTTTTGATAAAATTGATTCATAATTGAATATTTTTAGGCATTCATTATAGCTTTTACTTCAAACTTTATACCAAGATTAGTTTATCGAATAACTGTCTCTGATAATTATTCTCTGGAAGGATTTCTAGACCATTCTCTTTCCAAATTTAATACAAGTGATTTACAAAACGGAACTGAACCATTTTTACCTACTCACAAGCAAGTCGAAATATGTAGATATCCAGATTACAGAGAATCTCCTGATTCACCAAACAAATATCAATATACAATTATGTTTTGGCATGTACTTGCAGCAAGACTAGCTTTTATTGTTGTATTTGAGGTACTGTTATAACATTAATGTAATGTTAAATCCAAAAATCAATTATAACAAAATCTATGTTTTCTAGAATATTGTTGCTCTGGTCATGATACTTGTGCGATGGTGTATTCCTGATATGCATCCAAAGTTAAGAGATAAAATACGGCGCGAGGCATATATAACTAATGAAATAATTATTCAGCAAGAGGCGCTTCGTGCCTGTGAAAGATCCGCTGATGACGGAGACACAAATCAACATATCATTATATTAAATGAAAGCACTAATCGATGGAACAGAGTCATGAGAAGTAGTTTATCTAATTCTGAATTTGATTTAGAAATTCATGGAAGTCCTGTGTCGCCGGCTAATACACATTCACGAGTTGGTCCTGCTGCACTATGATCATTATTCAGACCAAATTAGTAAAAAATTATAACTGTGATGCTAGTCACATTTATATATATTACTTTATTAATCTGACTAATTTGATGTTAATAAAAATATCTGTGTTAGTAACAAAAGAAAATAAGAAAGAATAATTTATATATATGTTGAATATTGATACTGATAGCAGTCATATATTTTCATGATTAATTATTCAAAAAGGAGGAAGTATTCTTATTATAGCAAATTTTAATATTCTATATTTCTGTTAAAAAAATTTTTAAATTAGAAATGAATGAAATTTGTACTATTATTTCTAACAAATGGAAAGGAAGATTTATAATTATTTAACTGAAAAATGCGTGATATGTATATATTACATTATCTTCTATGAAAAATTATTTAATTAAAAATTAATGAAAAATTATTTAATTAAAAAGAATACTTATAGTAATATAAATAATATATTCAGTTATTCATAAATTATATTTGTTATTGTATTATTTAAGGGCTTAATTCTATAAATGTAATTGATTAATTTTTTTCTTTGTAAAGTTCCTATAAGTAATGGATCTGACTTAGCAATTAATTGTTACTAAATAACGACGAAATTTATGATGCATATATTGTGAATAATACAGTAAAGATCTACCTCTATTATACATAAATTAATCACAGAATTTTTCCATAACTTTCATAAGCTTTATAATATTAAAATATACAATTGCATACATTTGACCAAAATTAAAATATAATGTAGTACATTACATTTTGATATTCAGCTGCCATATTTTAAATATAAAAATATTTGTATGAATATATATAATTTTTATTCAAATAAAGGATTGTAAAATGATATAATGTAAATTTTTATTAAAGTAAATAAATATTTTTATATATATATAATGTACAATGAAAATTTCAATTTCACAAATTCACAATTAATTCTGTATTATTTGAATATCGAAAGTATCGTATTGCAGAGGGCGATATCATAGAACCATTATTGAGGAAATCACATTGTCTTATTCTTAGTCATTCCGAATATTTGATTTAAAAAATTTACATTTATTTTTTACTAAATATTAAAGAAGATCTGACAAAATTTTATTATATTATTTTAATGTGAATCTTTAAGCAAATAACGAAAGTTCATTTTTAAGAAAAATGGGGACTGTTCATGCAAAGGTATACGCTTATTATTAGAAAATTACAGTATAACCTAAAATTAAAAGTTCGTTTTAATCATGAGTAATTTCTAATAATAATTTTTACCATCGTTATTGTGATTTTAACAGTTGTGTTAGATATTTTATTAAGTTTGAATATTTTTTATTTTATTGTAAAAGTTGTCATTGTACATTTAATACATTTTTTCAAATTATATTTAATCGAATACTCGTTAACATTTTGTATGTTGTTATTTCAGGAATCAAATATGTCCAGAAATATAAACGGATCTTCAAGTAACGAAAAAGAAAATTTTAAAGAGGATAATCCTGTAAGTAACATACATATAGGTATTTTGATTCATCTTGTTTTAAATATTTTTATGATTTTGGAAATATAAAATAATTTAACAATCTTTTCCAGTTTCATAAGAAAATGAATTTACTAGAAAGAAAAAAAGGACAAGCCGTTGATCTTCATTTAAAGGTATATTTACTAATACAAACATGAAACAACATGATATAATTATTGATATAAATTAGTAATTTAAATTTTAATATTTTATAAACTAGGCAAGAGTCGATAGAATACATGTGGATGGCCTCATAAGAACAAAAGATGACATAATAAAAGCCCAAGTAACAGAACTGTTTAAAGCTCAAGATTTTTATGATATTATTATACACGCCTATAAAGTTAGAGAAAAATTGCAAGGTTTAGGATGTTTCGGAAATATTGGAATTTACATTGATACCAGTCATGGTCCTCATGCTACCCCAGAAGGCGTTGAAGTGGGTCTATATAATTACACACTAATTCAACAAAAATAAGTAATTTCTCAGATTTAATTCTTTTCAGTTCATTTATGAATCATCTGTTTAAAAATCAGCATATATTTTTGTGAGAGATTTTAAGCCATATTCATTTTTAGGTCACTTTTATGGTAAATGAAATGAGACGCCTAACAGGTGGAATTAGCACCATGGTTGGAAATAATGAAGGTTCAGTTATTGTTCAAGCGAAAGCACCAAATTTATTTGGAAGAGGAGAACGTCTTCAGATGGAATATTCTTACGGTTCAAAAAGTTCAACTAATATAAGCATATCTGTTGTTAAACCATTTATGGGTAGTTCGCGTCATAAAATGTATATAAAATTATCCCATTTTAAAGATTAATATCATGAATTAACTACTACTAATATATAATTTAATTTTTTTTATAGATTAACTGGTAGTGTGTTTAATACATCAAATAGGTTTCCATGGTCTGGTTTTAGTCAATGCGATAAAGGTCTTTTAGTAGATCTTGCTTTTAATCCAGATGGAACCGGTATATTAAAGCACAATTTACAGTATGAAGCCACGTATAGGGAAATTATTTCTTCTAAGCATATGTCGTTTCGTGTTCGAGAACAATGCGGTCCAAATTTGAAATCTGCGATACGGCATATTTGTTCCATCGATAAACGAGATTCTTTAATATTTCCTACTACTGGAAGTCTCGTGCAATTTTCGACAGAAGTAGCTGGTTTCGGCGGAGATATTGGGTTTGTTAAAAATGAACTTATCGTGCAAACTAATTGGACACCTCATGAATACGCAGCAAGTATTTTTTTTAACTCGAAACTTATGCTTTTAAATTTATCCTCTGTACAATTTGTCTGATTATAGAAATTTTATTAGACCTTTCAGATGGGTTTTCAATCTGGATTGCTTCGAGAAATCAGCAACGACATGAAAATAAATATTGCAGACCAGTTTTTCTTGGGTGGACCATTGAATCTTAGAGGATTCGATATGAGAGGTTGTGGGCCTCGCCTCGATGGAAATTCTCTTGGCGGCAATGCATATTGGGCACTTGCGCTTCATTTATACACACCACTGCCATTCAGACCCGGTCGCCACAGTTTCGGTGATTTGTTCAAGTTACATGGTTTTATCAATGGTGGAAATGTATCGAATTTTACCTTCAAATTTGGTGCGACATTTTTTAGATATTTTTTGTATGTTAATTATTTTAATTATTTACTACAGAAATAAATAATTTTTTATTATTTGCAGCAAACGATTATAAAGAAAATATGAAAATTTTTAAAGAAGATGTTCGCTGTGCAGTTGGTGGTGGTATTGCAATGAAATTTGGAAATATAGCAAGAGTAGAGTTAAACTTAGTTATGCCTTTATTATTTGTCAGGAACGACGTATTGCAACAATTTCAATTCGGTATTGGTTTGCAGTACTTATAAATAGCTTTTCATGATAGTAAATTGTGTACATCCTATATTTATTTTTACATGTGTATTTAATGTAAAATAAATTACAATCATAAATTTATTATTATGAGAAATACATTCTATTGTTATTAGAAATAAGTATCCAACGCGTTTCCAATAAAAGTTGATATTTTCAGAATTTTTAAAATATTTTATTATGTTATATTAAATTTTATTACATTATAACTGTTTGCACAAGATGAACACATTTATTTCATAGTTTGCATCAAATACATAATAGGCTGTAACTTTCTGGGAAATGCCAGAAGTTTCATCAGTATGAAAAAATAGGATGAATCAGTCTATTAACATGATGCATACGCTTTTAAAAGAGCGTTTATACAGTACGGTTTGACTAAGTAAATATGATCGATTATAAATAAAACATAAATAGAATGTATCTATATATTATTTTTGATTATCAATTGTTATGAAAAACATCTCGCAGAATTATATTTAATATAATTTGATAGTAAATATTTATTTTCCGTAAATTGATAGCCTTGATCTGAATCGTTGTGACAGCAGCGCCTCTACAAGAAATAAGTTACAAACGTTATAAGTGATCCGTACAACGCATTTACACTTACAACCAGTTGAAAATGGCCGCTTAAAAGTTGTCGTCAAGATGTTTGCTGCAATAATACGTCATTTTACAATGGAATCTATTGGAATTATTGAGGAATCAAAACGGAATATTGTATCTGAAGTAATAAAGTTTGTTGAAACACCATTATTAAAGCATAAAAAGTGTGGTACAGAAAAGAATCAGTTGTCATATTGCGAGGAAAACATCCTACGTGATTGTGATTCCCACGGTTGTGGAGGCTATCTTTGTTGTATGTATTGGTGAAAAAAAATCTCGTAAAATTGCTTTATCGCGTTTAATATAAAAATTATAGTGTTGCTGCCATGATCATATGCCTAAATAACAGTTTGAATTTCGATGAATCGTTATTTAACAATTTTCAATCTTAACACCTGGAGTGCGCGTGAAAAATTCAAGATGTCTGCATCGTGATTGTAAACGTTATATTGATTTCGAACGTATCTTTGAAAATCCAAAAATGGAACTTGAAATGAATATGATACTTTTTTGTCAATTAATTAACTTTATACCGAAATTATAAAATTATTAGGAAAAGTACGAAATTCTTTTTGAAATTCAATATGTAAGATAAATTTAAAGATCATGGTTATAGGATGTATTTTTTTGTAAAATTTTAAAGAATGTTTAATGATTCCTGAATTCTTAATTTTTTTTATTCTGTAATTCAATTCAAATATATTTGTTAATAATTAATAACTTCTAGGGGTTACTAATAGTTTAAAAATGCTAAATTTGATTTTGCAGCTGAACAAAGATTTATGAGAATTGAAAGAAGTTACAGAGGAATACCAACGTATTGAATAATGTATGTATAATCAAATTTAAATTAAACAAATTCAAAAATTTAAGTTAATTTTTTAAATTCAATGTTTTTTTGCAGTAACTTTGCTTTGTCTTTAAGCATGTGTTCTATGCAGAGCTTACCTGCAAAAACAACAATGGAAAAAATGTATTTGATGAACAATACATTGAACGAACAAAAAAACATGCAGGGTGTAAAGAAAGAAAACATGTTCGACAGTGTTCGTAATGTTTTGAATGCACTTTGGGGACAATTATCTGCTTCATTCACGGGAGGAAATTATCCATTCTCTGTAACAGTTGTAAATAATAGTATTTCACATGATTTTTTTAAAAATTTGACAAGTAAAAGAGAATTATTAAGTGCAGACAATGTGTACATTCACAATGGTGAAATCAAAGAATCTTTAAGTATTGAGAATATTCATACTAATATATCTAGTGAAAAGAAACTTTGCGTAAATAAAATTTTTGAAAATACAAAAGATAATTTAAAATTTAGTTATGAATACATTGACAGCAAGAACAAAAATCCAGAGAAATCTGATGAAAAGAAATTAGATATTAACAAAGATGTTAAATATAACACAACTTATTGTAATTATTTAACGTCAGTTCAAAATTCTAGTATGACAAATGAGGAAGAATTTGAATACATTTATTCTGATACAAACACAAAGGAAATGGATGTTCAGGAAAATTGTTATATTTTTGAAGAAACATATAGTAAGGATATATCTAATACAGAACAGCTTTTTAATTGTAATAACAGTATGGGTGATAAGATTGTAAATATGAAAAATTCTCTTTTAACACATAGTACGAATACATTAAGTACAGAGACAATTCAACAGTCTACATTTCCAAATTTGTTCACAAATATGTTTCAAAACGTTATTGATGGCGTGACAGATAAATTTTTTAAAACAGATTTTAATAAATCAGATATGCCAGCAAAAGTATCATTTTCGTCGAAGCAACGAAGAAAACTTACTACAGTGGCAAAAGGTCGAGGGCGGGGGCGAGCGAAATCGCAGCTTAGACGTTCTGGAGTCAGTCAAACAAGACACAGGAAGGAACGGATTAAACATGACATTACAGTAGACATAGAAAGCGATTTTAAAAGCTGGCAAGAATTTGAAGAGTATGATACAACAGAAAATAAAGAATCAGAAGATTTATGTTTAGGTGAGGATGTAGTAGATGCTGTACAGTATAGTATAGAAGAGAGAATGAGTCCTGTAACATATACGTTTGCCGATGTAGAATCCAAAATTCAGAAACCGAAAATATGCAGAAACGTTAATTATGACATATCTAAATTTTCTGCAAAAATGTCTGAATGTCCAAAACAAACAGATACCTCTAATTACGATTTTGTTGAGAACAGATACAATTCGCAGAACACATTTCGACCACGTTTAATATCAGAAAGTTCCATTGATTCAGAAGATAGTTATTGCATAGTGTTTGAGACTGATTCTGAAGTAACTTTCAAAAGTGATGTTGAAGATAGCGAAGAGTTCGATATAAATGAAATAAGCGAAGAGAGCGATATAAATGAAATGAGCGAAGATGAAATAACGTATAAAGACAAAAAGTCAATAGCTCCGATTCGAGAAGTAATTAATTGTTACTTAAACTTGTTTATTAGAGTTCTGTGATAATAAACAATATAATTTTTATTATAGGTAAAATTCAATTTGAATCCAGTGGTTCATCTAATGATTCAATGGGACTATGCATATCGTGCAGCTCGAAAAGGTCCATGGGAAGAAATAGCTAGAGACAGAGAACGATTTAAAGGTCGAATAAATTGTATAGAACGTGTTCTTAATCCAATATTAACAGTTCAGCACAGAATTCACATTTGGCAAGAACGATTTGCACTTACTGAATAAAATTCATATTCACTGTTCTTTTAAGGTAATTGTATCATTCAAAATTGATTTTATACAGTATAGAAGAAGAGATGATGTATCGAGAAAAAAAGAATATGTATAATAAATGTTTTAGAATGACAAAATAGGCTGTGAATAAATAATATAGGATATCTATCTTCAGACAATATAATTCATTACTAATGGACATAAATTGTTTATTCTTTAATGATTTGCACTGATTGGAGTACCTATTTCCTTTAGAAGTTTATAAATTCATAAGCTGTAAATTCTTTTTTTTAGCTAGTCTACCTAAGTCTAGCATTTGTCGATATGTAAGCATGTCAGCAAATGTTAGACTTTACGAAGTTTTTTTTATTAAACATAGAAATATTACATTGGATCTAATTTAATTTGAGAAGAAAACTTAAATTACACAAGTATTTTTTTATTAATATTCCTATCTAGAAATATGAAAGTAGAGCATAGAGAAACATATTATATCTATATATGCATAAATAACAAATATATGTATATTTTTAGTTAAATTATTTCATCTTATTTATCTAAGCTATATAGTATAAACACTAGTCATTAAATATATAAATTATGAATCATTTTCATCATATAAAAGAAAAATGAATTATTGGAAAATACTAATTATTCATGTGCTTTTTTTAAAATGTACATTATCTCTTCATCTGTATAATTATTTTGTAATAAAATCGAATCTTCTTCATCAATCGAATCATCGCATTTTCAACAATGTAATTATAAAATATGTACATTTTTTAAATATGAGATTAAATCAGATGTTATAGAAATCAGAAATTATATATCCGTGACAATTTGCTATATATATAATACATATTTAATTCTGCATGATATAATTAAATTCTTTTCAAGTGGACATAAAATATTAAACATAAATATAAAAAAATTCTTAGTAATTATTATTTTTTAATAGCTTAAATATATAAAAATTAATAAATGTAAATAAAAAATGTCCACTTAATTTTGTTTTCAAGCATGCAATTGACGCACATTTGCCTTATTTATTAATATTAGAAAGATTTCTTATCACAATTTTATTTAAGAATTCAAATACTTGTTACGGATAATTATTAACTATTAAATAGTTGTATTACAAATATTGAAATTAGAAGAAAGTATTGGAGAAATAAAGTCATAACAAGTTAGAAATTGAAATTCACAGCAAAATTTATTATTATGATACAAAACAAATCCTATTTTGGTAATCATTATTTAGTATCATATGTATTTATATTTAAAGGAAATGTTATGATTTTATTTTTAGTTTCAATTATAATATATGTATAGAAGATATTAAAGAAAAATTTTAATATATAAATATTCAATTTATGTTTAAATATATGTTTGAATAAATAAGACATGTTTTGTTTACTATTATTATAGTGAAATGAACGTAAGTTCATAATATTTAATATTTTTGAAGAATAGTTAGTTTATAAATCTAATTTTTGTGAAGTGCAGTGATACAGAGAAAATTGACCTTGCTGAACTTGCCATGTACAATGCATATTTATTAAAATTAGTCAGCAGTTATTCTGCATGTACATAACAAAAATCAATGATATATGTAGCGTTCTATTAATTAAAATTAAATTGCACTTATGTAATAATTTTTTTCCACTAGTAATTTAGAAATTATTTTAATTATTAATATATGTAACGAAAAGGAAGATTTTCACGTACATAGACATTTGTATGTAACTTTTAACTAAGGGAAATTAGAATACTATTTTTACTTTGAAAATCAGATAGCATTACGTATGTATATATATTCAATTGAATAAACACATTAATCTCTTTTATAATGATTTCTGAAGTGTTTAGCCTGAAGAAATTTTCAACACTCGTTTAGTAAAAGTAACTTTCACTGGATACATGATACCCATTAACAGAAGCAAGTCTTGCACTAACATTTCACAATTCCAATTAACACAATTTTCTACCAATCATCACTAAAGAAGACTAGATCTTACTAAAATTAAATCTAATTCATATTATAACAAAACAACAAACGAAAATTATGTATGAAGAATAGATATTAAAGTTCAGATATCAAGTACGTTTCCTGATTTGAATTTGGATGCACATCTTATTGTCGCTGACATGGCATCGTTAATTGCATGCATCAATGGAAAATTTCATGATGGTTCTGGCACAATCCCTGTCATGAGTATCATGGGAAGTTTCTCAGAGTCTAACAATGAATGTAATAATACAATCTGAATTATGCCAAGGGCAAGTTACATGACTGTAAGTCAGGAGTGCTTGATTGGTGGTCAGACCAACCAACTTGCAGTTACGCATCCCATTTCTTAATTATCCACCGTTTGTCGTACGAATTCATCTTGAAGAGCAACGTTATATCGACGTTGTAGCTTCAGTTTTAATAGCACGGACACGATAAATATTTCTAAAGATACTAATGTTACCAACCAATCGAAATCATTCGTGAAAACATTTTTAATTAGACAAGTGTTTATGTCTAACGCTAGAACTACCGACGACTAAAGCATAGAATTCTAAATATCACTGAGTTAATGCATAATAATGTTCAAGATAAATAACGTCAGAAATAGTAACAGTCATTTCAAGTAAACTAATTCATGTAATTAAAGGCGCAGCCTTGGCAACGGAAAACATGAGATTGGAATAATTCCATCCTTCAACAATTGTGTTCTTCCGACAAGAAGAACAGAAAAATACCATGAAGAGTTTCATCGTCGTTCGTCCTGTTTCACATTATTTGATCGTAATCTCCAAACTTTTTGTCTCTGTGTCCTATCATCTATTTTCAATAGATTTCTTACGATCGGATAGAAAGATATTGAATTACGTTTAATTAACACGAGTGAATCAGTTCCAGAAGTTGGCCTCTTCACCAAGATTCCGTTTAGCGCATTTAATGAATTGCTTGAACTCTGTGGTATTGAATTATAACTACGATGTTAGAAATTCGGATTTACCAAATACAAAATACAAAATAATGGAATATACGGATATTCTGTTTGCGCAGGATTTCTTTTCCCTCGAGCGCATTTCTTGTGCATTTTCACTAGAATTACGCGTGCAAGAACATTTCTCGGGTAATTTACAAGATCAAACGGAATGACGAGAAATGCTCGACGATTTGCAACAGAATAATCCATCATTGTCCAGGAAGTGTGGACATCTGCAGTGAAAAGTGCACCGATGAGAAGTTGAACCGGAAGAGGATGGGCACGATTTTAACTGGATGGCTGGCTGAATGGAGAGGGCTGCAGCACCATTGCAACATTCTGCGTTTCTCCGTGCATTGTGTTGTTGACACAATGTTGACAAATCGTCGAAATCCCCGCGGTCGAAGAATCGTTTGGTTGCTCGCGAGGATGCAAAATTACCCAGCGATTCGCTTCTTGGCGTTGTGCCAAATTTCACAGAATTATCGGCAATTGGTAATGCAATTAACATGTTCAGTGGCAAGTAATGGCACTAACAAAGCTTACGTCTGAAAATACGAAACGCATCGATGACATTATTAAAAATCTTCTCGACGTTTCGTATCTCGGTTTAACTTAGAAATAACGGAAATCAGTACGTGGCTAAACCGGATGTCTGTTTGTCATCTTCGTTTCGTTCTAACAACTCTTCTTATCAGAGTATACATTTACACGCGCCGAGGTTCGGGCCAATTATCGTCGCTTGCGATTTCACATGGCTTCTTTGTGTCTACGAACAATGAACGAAAAAGAAAATAGTCGCGACTTTGTTCGAGGATTATTCCAATCTACTTTCACCTTTTCGCAATTGTTGAAGAACAGGAACGTATATGTTAAGCTCTATATTGTATATAGTCAGCTCTATAAGCTGACGATAAGAACTTTGTGTATCAAAAAAAAAAAAAAATCGACCTCTAACGAACGAGCTGTGTGCTGCGTATATTTTACATTTCTTTTTTGCAAACGAAAAAAAATACAATATCTTGCATGCAAAAATACAAGCGAAACAGCCTTTTGATGTTCCTCTGTTTGAAAATACTGATTAAAAAGATATCGTTAAAAATATCCGCGTGTAAATCAATCGTTCGTCACGTATGAATAATATCGAGCGTAGTAAATCTGTCGACGCAAAAAATTCGCATAAATCCGAAAATTATATGTGTTTCATGCGAAGTTCCCTTTCACCGACATTTAGACGGTGCATCGTGCACTTGTACGAGTATATGCAAGCGTAACGACGACGAGATGGAAAATTTTACAAGTGTTTGTCCATATGTGTGCGCGGTACGCGTTGGTATAATTTAATTAGATCGGAACGATATTCGCATATGTTACAATACAACGATATCCGTTATGGTTACGGGACTCCTAAAAAATTGCATCATTCACGTATCCGGCACGAAAGGCATTAATTTGCCATGATTTCGGGTCATGCTATTCTTTCGTAATAAATTTTTTTTTTTTTTTTTTTTTTTTTTTTTGAGTATGCAGAAAACAATACTACAGTTTCCCTCAGCAATCACAGATTGGCACCGCGATCTTTTTTATTATTGTTACAATTACGGCAATTACTCGGATTGGAGTAACTTAGAATCACGAAAGCAAGTCGCAAGTTTGATCTAGTGGCAACCGTTCTGATAAATCGTAATCAACAATACAGCTTGAGCTCAGCCTCCTCTGGAATACTCGGAAGCCTATTGTCCATGTTGATCTAAATCCCGCAGCAGATAACCGGTTGCAACACACCAGTTGAACCTGACATTCCGGATTTCACGCCACGTGAATGATCATAGTGACTCGAACAATCGATATCTTTCGTTTCTTCTCTTTGAGAGAGAGAGAGAGAGAGAGAGAGAAATGTCGCACGTTGTTGCACAATCGAGTACGTTATGTAATAATTGTTACACAAACTGGAAATGAGACGTGAGTACATTGAGGAATTGTCGGTGACGATGAATAATTCGATGAACATTCGAAGAGAAGAAACTCTTAAACTGAAACTAATCGACGGCTTTTCCCCCCTTCTCCTCCGGTTTCTATCGTTTCTGATAAATATGAGAACCACCTCTTGGATTTTTGAAAGTTCCCCGTTGTTGAGAACTTCTCTTGCCATTTGCGAGAATGGCATCGTAATTGACGTCATCTTTTATCGTCGAAATTTGTCGAGAAATTTATTGCGATATGTAAAGAAAGAAAGGAAAAGAAGAAGAAGAAGAAGAAGAAGAAGAAGAAGAAAATACAAGTGTGGTTTATTGAGAGATTGGTAGTGGGGCGAGGACTGTACACATATTACACACGTTGTTATTACACGGAGCTTTATTTAAGGAAGCGTGAGAGCTCGGAACAGTATATATGATAAAACACGTACAGGTTTCCGCTGCAGAGCTCTTCAAGCTACGAAGTGTCCCGTTCAGTCCCGCTGTCGCGGGTCAATAAAATCTCTCTGAAACTTCCATCGTTCTTCGAGAAGCTTCGTAGAAGAAACTCCCAACCGAAGGATCGATAATGAATTGTAAAAAGCTGATACGAAGCTTTCCCTGCAGTCTACTAAAAATCTTTCAACCTATGAAAATTACGAAAGAGTAAAGTAAATCTCGCATGCTCCCTGCAAGGACCCTGACACGCTTAATCCAAATAATCCCTGACAAAAACCCAGAGTAGCTTTCTATACGAGAACTCGACTTCGCTGTGTCGAATTTGAAATTTGAAATCCCGACGGAGGATCGCTATTTTTCCAATCGAAGGCAACGAGACACCGCCGGATGCGTCATCGAATTCGGCAAGCCTGTTGTTTTCACAACTGTTCACCACGGTATATAATTGACGGGTCGTGAATACGGCGATCAATGCAGGTCGCTCCATCGACGATGAAGATATTCGTCGCCTGTTTCGTAACTTGGGCGTTGACGAACCGAGGAATCGTACTCGCGAGCGGCCTCGACGCGCAGGATCGGAGAAATGATTCTGGCCAAGTAGAGAACGTGAGATATGATGGGACACGGTACGCTAGTTACGGAAAGATAGGAGGATCGACGCTCGAGGTAGAATCGTCGTCGAGCGGGCAGGCGTCCGCCTCGGGTTTCTCCTCTTCGTCCGCGCGAACATCGTCGAAACATGCGGCGTCATCGTCGTCGGCCACTGTGAAGAGTGAGCAACTCGACATCGAGAAAGAGAAAGCGTCGTCAAAATCGGAAGAACGATTCGCCAGCGGTGTTTCGATCGCGGACGAGTCGCTCTCCAAGGAGAAATCGGTCGCCGAAACTGAGAGCGGCGAGTGGAAGAACGTCGCCGCGGAATCGAACGAACGCGACCGGCAAAAGCAAGTCGTCACCAAGACGTACGTGAAGAAAGGTCCGATCAGGAGTTGGAGCTGGAGCAGCGTGAACAACGAGTCGAGGAGTTCCATCAGCGAGGAAATCGAGTTTCTCAGGCAGGAAAAGACGAGGGCGGAGGCTAGAATGAAGGTGGAGTTGGAGGCAAAGGCAAAGGCAGAGAAAGAGGCGGCGGAGGCTCGAAAATTGTTGAAGCTGCAGTTGAAGGCGGTCGAGGAGGCGCAAGCTAAGGCTCAAGCAGAGGCGGAAGCTCGAGCAAAAGCGGAAGCTCTGGTAATATCAGAGTCCAAGGCTGTGGCTGCTGCTCGAGCAGTGGCGAAGGCTAGTTCCGAGGAGGCAGCGCAGGCTAAGCTAAAGGCGAGGTTCGAGCAACAAGCTCGTTCCGAGCTGCAAGCCAAGGTCATCTCCGTCCTCGATGCTCGTTCCACCGTCGAAGAGGGAATCGTGATCACGGAGGAATTGAAGAAAAAGGCGAGAGTCTCGGCGGAAGCTTCGGTAGCCGCGAGCGTGGCTGCCAGGGAAGCTGCCAAGTCGATCAGAATCGCGGCCATATCCCGAGCAAACGCCGCTGTGAAGGCCTTGGCTGCTCAGAAGGCCACCGTTGTTCAGGCGGCTACGTCTGCCAACGCTAAAGCGATAGCCAGCGCTCTAAGCGCCGCGGTCGAACAGGCTGTGGTCTCTTCGAGAACTGCGGCGACTTTGCAGGCGGAAGCTCTTGCCATAATTAACGGGACTGTACAGGCAGCTCTTGCCGAAGGAGCGGCGATCGACTACGCGAAATACAGAGCCGAGATACATAAGAACGCGATTGCAAGGGCGAAAGCTTCGGCGGAAGCGGCTGCTAGCGCGGCCGCCGCTGCGGCTGTCGCTTCCGATAAATTGGCAAGCTTGCAGACAGACGCTCTGGGTGTTACTGTCAAATTGGCTGCCTCTCAGGCAACTGTGGAAGCCCTAGCGGAAACCGCTCTGGTGGAAATTAATGCTGCAGCCAAGGAAGAAACAGCCACCGTGGCGAAAGTAAATGCTCAAGTGTCTGCTCTCGAAGCCGCAGCCGCAGCTCGTGCTAGTCCGCTTCAAGGTGTGAGGAACGGAGTCGTCCTTGGATTGGGTTCCTCTGGTAGCAAGCTCAGCGAGCAACAGGCGGCAGCATTGCAGAGGACGGTGCAGGATGGGCAGAGCGAAGGGAAAACAAAGGGTTGGGAGTCGTAAACATTAAATTACTTTCGACAGTAATGAGAATAGATGTGACATGATGTTTTGATTTCTTCATGGATGAGAAATATGAGGAATTATAAATACAACGTTGTAGCAATGGAAATCTTGTCTTTTATTGTATCCGTTCCCTTCAAGTCCCTTTAAGTCGCCAGTCTCTGTTTCGCAGAATTTATTACATTTAAAATTTCAAATATAGACCGGAATGATTGTATGTATTTCATTTTATCAATAAATCGTTGAATCACTGAGATACAAGCTTATTCTGTTTCTTGATTTGTGTGATATACTGCAATGAAAGTAGTTGATGTAGTAACGTTTCTAATGTGTTGTATCGAAAGATTTTTATTAACATCTCGAAAACTAATAAAAATCTGAAATTAGAATTTTATATTTGGAGTCCTCTTTGCTTTTTGGAGAAATATCCGACTGAACAAAGAAAATATCAAAGAGAAATTTGTTATATTTTTTTTTTTTAGATCCAACTATCTGCGCATCGTTTCGATGCGTTATCCAGTATTTTCATTGTTAATAAAACTAATTGAAAATATCGTTATTGCCAAGACAAATTTGCATGGTGCGCGAAAAATCCGAGAAAACCTTAGATGCGAGCAATCGATTGTTAATAATATTTATTTCTTCGCTTGGAGTACAAAATTTGTAAAAAAGATTAATCATAGGATATGCTTTTTATTTCATTGATTTTTATCATTGTCAACTTGACACCAAGGGATAAATTAAGTTAGGAAAACGATGAATTTAAATCACTTCAAAACGCCATATTGACGAAACAGTATAATCATTTCTGTTAAAAAGAGTAATATCTAATTTCGTTGGTTTCCAAGTTGTATAATTTATAAAAAGAAATACACAAAATTAATGATCATCTGTAAAATAATTGATCATATTGATTCAGGCTCTTATATTTATTTTACTGTATCTTCGTATGCAAATATTTTTTTTATAATACGTTGCACATCTTAAATGATATACGATTTATCTGTAATCGACTCATTGAACTAAAAAGTATATAGGTACTTGTAAAACAATTACAAAAGAAAGTCGAACCGATTGTCGACGAATGCAACTTACTCTGAGATATCAGTAAAATCATCTTCAAGCGGTCGAAAGTCGTTTATTATTCAAATTCGACGGGGATAAACAACGCTTGATCAAACATCTCCAGTTGCAAGCCAAACACCTTTGGAAACCAACACCCATCTACGCTGCTGAAACAATATTTTCAATGCCGTTTTTCAAACTGCGACCGGCCGATCTGTTATTTTCACAACTGTCGACCGTGCTATAAATCCGTCGATGGTCGGGCAGCCGGTATCAATTCGCGAAGCGTCGTCGAACATGAAGATTCCAGCACTGCTCGTAACGTGCCTGTACTTTTGGGGGCTCGCTTCAGCCGGCTCGAGTTCCTCCGTGCTCGAGCTAGCGAGGAGCAGAGCGTCGGCCACCGCGTCCACCGCCGTCACCGCTAGATCCGGGCTGCGTGCCGGCCAGGTGGCCGTGGCCTCGCAGAAAGATGCCACGCTTCAGGCAGAGGGTGCGGCGGCGGCGGCGGCCGCGGCACGCGGTTCCGCCGATCAGACGGCCAGCTTGACCGAGGAATCGGCGACTCAGCAGTCGAAGGCCGCAGCGAAAGCGAAGGCATCCGAGGAAGCGGCAGCGGCCACAGCCAACGCCGAACTGGAGGCAGAGTCGATCGCTGCATCGGCCAGTTCCGCAGCCAGAGAGGCTGCTGCCTCCGCGAAGGCCTCCGCATCCGCGGTGGCATCGGCTGCCGTGCAAGCGAGGCTCGCCGAGAAGACAGCCAAGGCTCAAGCCACAGCCTCGGCAGAAGCGAGTGCCAAGGCCGAAGCCGCTGCCAGCGCGGCGGAAGCAGCCAGCGCCGCCGCCAAGGCAGCCCTGGTGGCCGAGGGACAAGCGGAAGAAGCGATCGCCAGGGCAGCCGCGGCCAAAGCAGCTGCCAGGGCTGCGGCAGCCGCGTTGGCCAGCTCGAAGGAAGCCGCCGCGATTAACGCGAGAAGCGCCGCCGAGGCTGCGGCCAGGAACGAGGTCGCTGTATTAATCGCCGAGCTGGACAAGAAGAGCAGAGAAATCGACGCCTCCCTCTCGGCCACGGCACGCGCCGCTGCCAAGGCTAGCTCCAGGAACTCCGAGACGGCTGTGGTCGGGGCTAACATCAATTTGCCCACGGGGGTCATAGTGGAGCCAGGCCCGAAACCGATCCCGCTACCGCTGCCGAAACCGAAACCGATCCCACTACCGCTGCCGAAACCACAACCGAAACCGTTGCCATCCTCGGGGGCTGAGTCGAGCGTAGAGATCAACGCGCATGCCAGCGAGGAGGCAGAGAGTCGCGTGTCAATAGAAGCAAGCGAGAAACGATCAGATTGAGATGATACTGGGTCACACATCCCCGTGTCCCCAGGGAACGCATTTCGTTCGAAAATAATGTTATTCGATTCGTTTCTGGAGGAAATGTTAATGCCTAGTAGTTAGACGGAGAGAATTGTAATGATGAAAATAAATTGGTTTAGCATATACGTAAAGTCCTGTGGTTCTTCTTCTTTGCGTTGCCTTTTTTGTCCTTTGTTTTCCTCTTGAAATAGGGGATCGAGATAGGGGGATTAAGACTTTTAATTGAAATTGTACGACATTCCGTTTGCAATTGGAGGGTTTGACGTTCGAATAAAGGAACTGTTGCTGTTACATAAAAGAAAAAAAAATCTTCGTCCTTTACTTTATATTCTCGTAAACTTTTTTCTTCCACTTCGATTAGAAAGTTAATTTGTTAAAGTTAATTTGTCGCGTAGAAATGAAATGTAAGTAAATAGAAGAGCAGAACAGACTATTTTTATGAAATCATATCGTTAATATTAACTGTTGTTAATATGGTTGTGATACTGGTACTATTCAAGAAATTCAATGACATTAATATAAAAATAGAGGAAAATATTAAATTATTTTGCATTTGCATTTCATTATGTTCTCTTTCGTTGAGACAATTATCACTATAAAGCAGTGTGATGTACATGATGAGATGAAGCTATATATTATTGTTTAAAATTGAATTTGAACTGTCTTCGTCGAAATTCTGTCTTGAATTCCTACAATTTTCTATTTTAAAATTATTATTGTAAATTTTTGTATTTGGTGTATTCGAGTTCATTGGTGTATTATGCCATCGTATTGGACACATCTGTTCCAATATTTTAACAAGCAAAATAATAAAAACAATCGTTGTAATAATGTTATAATAAAGTGATATTCTTCGCATTACTTGCGTATTCGTTCACAATGTTGACAGAACTCACTTTATTCTTTATTAACCGTGCTTATATTAATTAATCAAATTCATTATCACGCGATTGTTTAATTATCTTAATGTAACTTAACTCTGGTTATGTTAATTAATCAAATTTATTATAATCAGGTGGTTGCAAGCCAGAGCAAGTAGTTTCTGTTAGAACTAGCTTAGTGAATGAACAACATTCAACCTGATTGAGAAACAGAGAAGACTCGAAAATTTATTCAAATGTTTGAAGACTTCAACGATGAATTAAGAAATGTGACCTGTGCGAAAAACTGCTTATTTTGTTAAAATACAGATTTTATAAAGAAAAAAATTTTGGATATTGAAAAAGTCGCCAAAGTACCACTTGGCCTTTCTCTCCAATTTTTCCAATTTCAAGTTCAATTTCTTCTACGCTGTGTTCAGGGACGCGTGGCGAGAGGCAAACAGTTAACCACAAATAATCGCTACACCTAAATAAACAAGCGTCTCGATAACAAAACTCCTCTCCTCAACCCATTGAAACAATATTTTAGGACGATCTCTCAAAACAGACGCGATTTCCCCCAAAACTACACTTGCTGTTTTTACAATTGTCCGGACGGTCGGTATATAACCGCGGACGGTGGCCGGGATTGGCATCAATCAGCGAAGCTGCGTCGAACATGAAGATTCCAGCGATACTCGTCACGTCTCTGCTGGTCTGGGGTGGCCTGTCCGAGGGCCATGTGGTGGTGAAGCGGGACAAAGAGCTGAAGCCGGCCGGGCAGGCGCTCGGCGACGGGTCTGACGCGCTCGGTGCCTCGGTGGAGAACGCGATCAAAGCGGCCAGAGCGTCGGCCAACGTGGGCCTGAACTTGGAGTTGGGTGCAGGCGCGCGGGCAGCATCTGCCGCCGCGGCCCAGCAGGGCAAAAGCACGCAGGCGGCGGAGGCTGGAGCAAGCGAGGCGATCGCCGTCGCTATAGCCAAGAGCGAGCAAGCTATCGAGGCAAGCGCGCTAGCCAGCAAGCTGTTGACGAACGCGGCGCAGGCCAGCGAGGCGACCGTATCGGCGACGAAGAGGGCAGCGCAATTGAGTGGCGCGGCCAGCGCCGCTGCGAGAGCATCCGCGGCGGCGGCCGAGGCTGCCACCGAGGCCCAGACGAAAGCCAACGCCGAAGCAGCTATCGCGGCGAGAGCTTCAGCGGCTGAAGCGGCAGCCGCAGCGGAAGCCGAAGCCAAGGCGTCACTCGCCAGCAAGGCGGCCGCCAGCTTCTTGGCCAAGGCTCGAGCAGCAGCCAGCGCCGAGGCCGAAGCTACCAGACTCGCAGCCGAGGCCCAAGTGGCACTCGCGAAGGCTAGGGTCGCCGTCGAGCAGTCGCAAAGCGCCCAGGCAATTGCCACCGCTCAGGCTGCCACGGCTGTTCAACTAGAATCACAGGCGGCAAACGCGGAGGCAGCCGCTGTAGCGCAAGCTGAAACTCTCCTGGTCACGGCGGAGGCGGTCGCCGCCGCGGAGGCTGAGGCAGCGGCAAAAGCTGCCGCTTGGGCGAAGAGTATCATCGGCGAGAAGAAATCATCCGGCTAAGCGGGAGACAAGAAGGAAGATACGATTAAGTCAGAGCAAGCGACAGAAAAGCTCTGTCAACGAGAGAGATGACTAGTTTGATAATTTCATTAAACACGTTTGATGATTATCGGTGGGATTCTTTGGAAGGCAGATAATGATTAACACACAGTTGAGATTCGTCCGTGTACTGTTTTAGTTGAAATAAATTGTCATAGCAACCTGAACATCTTGCAAATGTTTTTCTCCTTATCTGGTTACGAGGTCTTCTCCTTTGATTCCTTTCTATTTATTTCACGCTGAAGATAATCTACGATAGATACGTTTGAATCTTCCTTTACGAATCTTTTGTAACCCCCGTTCGTCTGAAAGAAATTACATAATTAGATACGATAGATACGTAATACATACAATGTACGTAGGTTCAACAAGATGCACAGATGATTTTATGTATCTGTTGGTCGCGTTATATAAATAATTATACTTAGACCTGATAAAAACAGCATCATTCAACTTCTTAAATGAAGACTCTCTTCACATCGATTCCAAATTCGCTGTATTAATTTTTACGTGATGATGTTATGTTCCTCATTGTGTTTGAAACACCACTTGTAACATATTGTATTTTTCAAGAGAAGAATTAATAAAATGTTTAAAAGCTGAATCTCTGTTGTTTATACAGAAATAATCCTACTGACGTTGATTCCATTGGTTAAAAAATAAAACATATTTTTATCTTTAGTATTATCTTTTGAAAATAAAAAATACACATACGACATAGATATGTGTATACATGTTAATGTCATGACTGTGATCAAAGTATTATAATAAATATTACACATCTAAGTATTATAATCTTGAACACTATAAAATTTTCTAAATTTGTACCAATTAATTGATTTAATTTAGTTAATTTTAAAATGACGGCTTACGGCTCTTATCGAGAGTGTAATAAATTTTATTATCGAAAGTGTAATAATTTTATTATTCAAAAGAAATATCTCTACTGGATTTGGTAGATAAATTTCATTGATAACCTATCGAATTAAATTGCCTTATGTACTATATCTCAAGGTTCCAAATACATATCTAAATTATCAATAAATAATATTCGATACCAAGTTCAAAAATCTGTCTCCGAGTATCGTAAAACAACAATCATGTTTCTCTGTTATTTCACCAAATATTTATCTTCGAGCAAAAATCTGCTGCTGTCGCAACAAAGCTCATATTTTACTCCAGAAGAAAAAAAGTAAAGCGCAGCTGTAAACACGAAGAAAAAATAATACAATTTTATCGAGACATCAACAACATTTTCCTGCATTTACACAACTGCGTATTCCCTAATATCTCTTCTGGTTATTTACACAACTGCACCCCCGTGTATATAACCGGCTCGCGGCAGAAGAGTCGCCATCAATCGGCAAAGTCCCATCGACCATGCAGATCCCAGTGGTTCTTGTAACGTGCCTGTTCACATGGAGCCTGGTACATGCAGGTGGCGAAGAGCCCGGTCCCGCCAAGGCGGAGGTCGCCCTGGTGGAGAAGCAGCTGCTGAAAAAAGTGGAAATTAACGCGAAACGAAAGGAGAACGGCGCCCCGCTACTTGGCAAGGACGTAGTTCCGTCTCTGGCGGTCATCAAGGGGAGCGCGGCTGCAGAGGCCAAAGCATCGGCTGAGGTGTCAGCTTCCGCTCTGGCCCTCGCCGAGGCGCTGTTGAGCGCTTCGGCAGCGTCCGCCGCCGCGTCAGCCAAAGCTGCCGCCGCGGTGAAGGAAGCAGCGAAGGCACAGCTTTTGGCCCAGGAGAAGGCTTTGGCCGCGTTGAGAGCTCAGTCCGAGGAACAGGCTGCCTCTGCCCGCGCGGATGCCGCAGCCGCGGCTACCTTGTCCGCGCTGTCGCGCGCCCAGGCCTCGGCCAACACGGCCACCACTGCACAGGACGTCTCCAGCGACTTGGAGAAACGAGTGGCCACGTTGGCCGCCGCTGGGAAAGCCGCCACCGCCAGAGGGGCAGACGCTGCCGCGCAATCGAAATGGTGGGCCGCACTGGCCGCTGAGGTCGCCGCCTCTGCAGCCGCCGTAGAGACGAAAGCCACCGCTTCCTCGCAAGCTACTGCCGCCGCTGCCAGTAAAGCCGCCGCGCTAGCTGCCGATGCCGCAAGCGCAGAAGCCGCCGCCCAGGCAGAGGCGCAGACCGCTTCCAGGCTGGAGGGCAGAGCGGCTGCCGAGGCATCGATCAGCTGGGCCAGCGAGGATTCGGCCACTGCCCAACTGGAAGCGTCCGCGGCAGCGGAGGCCAGCGCAGCCGCAGCTGTCGGTGATGGGGTCATCCTAGGACTTGGAAAGTCAGGCGGTTCCGCGGCTCAATCGCTCGCTCAAGCCAAAGCCTTGGCACAGGAGAAGCAATGAGGGGGGGGTGGGGGCATCCGAAACGAAGGGGACGAAGAGGAAGTCTTTCTTCTTGGACGATTTTGAGAAATTTTCATTGGAAACGATAGGAGATTATTTGGATATATAGTTAGAAAACGAGTAGACGGTGTCGATTAAAAATTAAGAGTAGCATTGGCATTGTCGAAGTGAGCTTACCTACGTGATAATAAAGGTTCATTATTTTAGCAAAACGTGTATCTTCTTGATTCTCACTGTCTTCCCTTTTCCCTTTTTTGACAGATTTTCCTCTTTGACAGATGACTTTCTCGTGAATCCTTTTGGAGATTAATGAATTGAAATTACATTACAAGACGTTACGTTGGATTGTTGAAAACAATAGAGATGATTTATGTTTTCAGCACCTGCAAATTTAAATAGTGTAAATTGATAACGATCTTAACATCTTGTCATAAAAATATTCAGGCTTTAATTGATTTATTTAAATTCATGTATTTTAAAATTGGTGTCTGGTTATTTAATTACGCGTTTGATTTAATCGATAAACATTGAATTATCGGTATTTGTGACTGAAAACCTGTGCAAAATAAAATAATTGTTTAATATATAAAATATATTAATATATTTAAATGACAGATCAATCAAGGGTTGGATTAAAAAATATTTGCAGCAACTACGTCGAGCCATTACGATGATAAAATTTTTTTAATCCCTTTCCAATGCTTAAGCTTCATTTGGGTTAAAAAAAAACTATTTTGAATCAATAGGTATCGCACGAAACGAAGTAACTAATAATTAACAATTGTTGACAAATGCTACGAATTTTCTAGACAACACAATATTTTATTGTGTCCATTTTCATCCGTAAATATTCAAAAATATTTGAATAGCAAGAATATTTAAATATCAGAACTATAAGCAAAAAACATTGATAGTCGAGCAACTCAATTGTTCAGAACAATTTTACCACACAGTTCAATTGTTGAGTGATTGACTTAAAAATGGCAAATAAGAAAATAACTTCTCAAGGTAGCAAAAACTCAACGTGGTCACGATGAATATCGAGAATCACTTTTAATTAAGAGAAAGCACGCATCGAACATCTCGAAAAGGTGAAACGCATTACCGTTTTACCAAGGTAAAAGTGTTTAATCTCAACGACGAGATTTGCGTTCTATGTTAAAAACAATATTTCACAGAGTTGTGTATAATATCCTGAATAATTCTTGGATTATCTTCAAAAACTATTATTCACTTTTTTCCCGGGAAACGTACTTTCATGAGCTGTAGCGCTTTCATCGCAAGTGGCCGACATATTTTAATAAATACAACAGAAACAGAACAATCGAAAGAATGATAAAAATGCTAGACTAATGATTTTCAAGCACTACAACGCTGCTGTGCTTGAAAATGTTTGCCAGTGTGTCGTTAAACTTCGTAATTATCTTTCCAAAAAGCAGCTGTCAAATACAACTGCTTTATTTTTGGATCGCTTGATGCAATTGAAATAACTCCATCAAAGTCTCGCGACGAATTCGGGGGGGTGAGGGGGGGGGGAGAAAAAAATGTAATCAGTCGGAAAAAGAAACAAACGCCACGTTCCAGACGCGAAATCCACCTAAATAAACTTCATTGATCCAGCTCGATCAACAAACACGTAAAACAAAGAAACAACCGTTGTTTTCACAATTGCCAACGGTCGTATAAAACTGGCAATTCGTGGCCGAATCGACATCAGTTTTTGCGAAGCAGCCTCGAAGATGAAGATCCCATCGGTACTCGTGCTGTCCTTGCTGGTTTGGGGCTTGGCCAGCTCAGAGAAATCGGAAAATGTCGGCGTCGAAGCGTCGTCATCAGCGTCGGCATCAGTGTCGGCATCGGCGTCAATATCGGCGTCAAAGTCAGTGAGCAAGGAAGCAGGACTGGCGATAAAGGGCGAGGCGACGCTTGGAAAGAAATTGGGAACCGGAGCGTCGGAAGTAGCTGCGGCATCCGGCGAGGCTATCGCGACTACACTTGGCGCGGGACAAGCTGCGGCAGAGGCACAGTCTGCAGCCGCTGCACAATCGAAGTCGGCGGCTGGTGCTGCCGCGAGTGCGAGCAAGATCACCAACGTTGCTGCCGTATCAATCGCCGAGGCAGCTGCAGCGGAAGCGAGAGCGGCTGCCGCCGCGGCCTCCGCCGCGAAGCTGAGCTTGGAGGCTGCAGCATCCGCCGAGGTAGCTGAGGCAGCCGTGGCCGCGGCCAGGGCCGCCGCTGGAAAGGCCGAAGTGCTGGCAAGGAACGCCGCTGCGGCGAACGCCCGCGCCGCCCTTCAGTCCGAGAAATCGAACGAGCTGGCGCAAGCCGAGGCCGCGGCTGCTGCCGAGGCGCAGGCGGTGGCCGCTGGCGCCGCCACCGCAGCCCAACTCGCCCTGAAGATCTCCGAGGTAGCGGCGAAAGCGGAAGCAGAGGCGGCAGCCGCCGCAGTCGCGGCCGCGAATGCCAGAGCAGTTGCGGCGTCGGCCGCTGCCCGCGCAGCGTCGGTGAACGCCGTCGCTCAAGCGGAAGCAGAAGCCTCCGCACAGGCGGAGAACACAGCTGGCGTAGCGCAGGCACAAGCTTCGGCCGCGGCGGAAGCGCAGGCCGTCGCAGCGGCCGCTGCTGCGACTTCCGAGGCAACTGCCGAGGCCAACGCATTAGCAGGAGAGATCCCATTACCTCCGAGACCACCTAAATCTAGCTAGAGTTCCTCGAGCAACACGGGAACGCACTTCCGCAGAGCAGGTTCAACATCCGCTGAGCAGAGTGATATAATTTCGGAATGAAGCTGAACGAGAGTAGACGACGAAGGAGACACTGTTTTAGTAAACACGAAAAAACGAAATTGTACGGGTGACATTATTAAATTGTTGTAGCAAATGATCACGAGTTTTTTCCTGACATTCACATTTCTTTTTTTTCTCTTCTTTTTTTCTTTTCTTTTGTTTTGTATTTTCCTGCCTCATCATTGTTGTTGAGCCATGGTCTTGAATGGGAAATAATCTCTTGGCAATGATGTTTACATTGTACCAATATCGTCGAAAATCATTCTGAAGAAATGGACGACGGTTATGTAGTCGTATATTTCTATGCGAATCTGAACATGTTAGACGACCTACCTGTAGAAGACACGATCTCTAACGCTTGAAATACCACGAACTTGTTCCGAGATCGGTGATTCAGAAGGTTACAGTCTCTTCACTCGGAAGAACGATGCCAGTGGGCAACTTTCCCTTTCTTCTTTACTTTCCTCGCGTGATATCGCACGATTTTACTGCGCGATCATCCTATTTGCATCAGGTTTCATCTTGTTAATTAAGCAGAAGAAACCGATAAAGCGTGGCTGCGTGATTATTAACAAATCCACCGGACAATGACCAGGCTCGTGATAACTGCAAAACGTCAAAAAAAAGAAAAAAAAAAAAAGAAGAACTGCATTATTAACCCCGTTTCTGTTAAATTCGATCGTAACTTTTACGTTACACACGGTTGTTACGTAAATATTATTAACTGTAGAATACGTAGTCTCGATTAGCTTCCTACTTGTTGGCTCAAATGGCCCGGAAGAGACTCTCTATGGCCCGTTATTATTGTTTTCTTCTTGCCCGTCGGTGGTATTCTCGAGAGAGCATCGCTTCTTTAATTGGCGGCACGAGATGTGCTTTAATGAAACAGCGAAAGTTAGTTAAAAAAAAGAGAATCGTAGCTTTAACATGGGCATGAGGCAGCGCCGTTGAAATTTCTGCATCAACCTTGCATCAACGAAACGTAGGATGCACGCGTGCATCTTAATAGCTTAGCAATTACCGTCGAATAAGTACACGATACGCTTTTACAGGTTTTTGTAATGACCAACTCGCGATGTGGTAAGCGATGTTTTGTGAAAGATTCGACTGTTTCAGCCTCCAAGAGAGCGCATCGCGCGTGGAAGAACAACGAAACCGAATGGCGAACGAAAGGAGAACAGGTTGACCCAGCCTCTTTTTTTCCCCCCCGAGTACAATGACGATTTCGCGACACGTGACCCGTTCACGAACAAGTCGTTAGTCTCTTTTGTCCGACATTGTAAAATGCATTGATGCTCACTGGACTGGAATATAATACACACAGTCACGAAATATTGAATTCATATAAACTTTTACTTCGATCGTAGCAGGGAACCTTGTGCTGATGTTATGGCGGAAAACTTGCACGCCGGAGATATTCATTGAGCATTAATTAATATCTAACATTAGCTATCGACGCATCTGTTGAAATAGATTACAGATTCTTTCAACTCTTAATTCACAGGATACATTCGTTAAATTAATTAGAGCCTCTTCGTTATTTCTTCATAGTATTTATACCAGTGAAAGGCTTAACTAATACACGACGTATCTTTGTTCTCCTAAATCTTTATTCTCCTAAAGAGATATTAATCATACAGAACCACTAATTAAGAGAGTACGAATGCCTCTGTGACTCTCTGTTAATTAATTAAATCAAGAATTTCTCGATCGTCGCTAACGAACGATTAAAAGTAACGATCGAAATAACTTGTGACAACAAAATCAAAAAAAAAAAAAAGGAGGAAATAATGGGAGATCCGTAAACTAAATGATAACCCACTTTGTCGTATGTACCGCTTTCAAGTGGAATGCATTGGTCGTGAATTTGATTCGATTCACATATTTCGATAGCGTGAGAGTGGAATATGTGTGTACATTGTCATACACATTTCATGTACCGATCAGGTGTATATGCGCGTCCGTTGTCGAGGAACAAGGAGCTCACACGATCCAACATCGGAGGACGTGAACGATTCTTTGGTGACTGGTGATTCAAGAGGTGAGAGACCATAAATGTTTGGTGGGGACGACAGGACCCCGCCCCATGAACAGCTATAAAATGTCGACACGAGAATCGGACCCAACCAGTCTTAATCAGAGTACACGAAGATCCTTTTTTCCCCCTTTC